CATGTGGCCCGTTCTGACAGGAAGCCGGAGACCCTGCTGGTAACTAGTGGTGGCGTGGGCCTGAACGGGATCCAGATGGGGGCCGGGGGTCGCCATGGTAGCCAGGGTGAACTGTGAGTTTCCAGGGCAGATCTACCCTGCAGTGGGGCATCCAGCTGGTCAGACAGGCCTTCAGGGGCATCTAATGTGTCAAGATGCCCCCTTCCTGCACACACACTGCCCCCTAGGAAACAAGACAGGATCACAGAAGGGCAACAGTCTGATTCTGAGATGGGAATCAGCTCTTAATGATATGATTTATTATTGTTGTTATTATTATTATTATTATTATTATTATTAGCAGTAGTAGTAGTAGTTGTTGTTGTTGTTGTAGTTGTAGTAGTAGTACAGTAGTATTAATTTACATTATATAGGGTGAGTGGTAGGTGCCCACAGAGCTGTACTGCATTTGGTTTGCTGGGAAGCAACTTCAGGAAAAATCCTCATTAGCGAAAAAAGTATTCCTCTGTCAGGATTTATTTTCTGGCTTTTGGATGCTTCCATGCCTTTTCGGGAATATTTTAAACAAAATTTCAGTGAGCTGCAAAGATTGAAACCAGAAAAGGATTTAATGTATAAATGGAAATGGCATTTGAAAGTCATTTATTCAGAGAGTGATGTGGTTTTCTTTGACGTCATTGTCGGGCAATGAATGAGAGACAGCGAGCATCTACTGGTTCTACTGAGGGTATGCTGCTGGGTTTTTGCAAGGTACACACACACACACAAGGAATTACATATTTGTGGGGACTCAATTTCTATGGGGAAAACTCTAATCACAACATGACGACCTTAACCCCTACCCAACCCAAACCTTAACCATAAGTAACCAAAAAAAAACATGATCTTTGGTATTTTTGCTTTTTTGATTGCATTCACAGACCTTTGTGGGGACCCGAAAAACAGTCCCCACATCGTCAAAATAATAGGTTTTTACTACATTCGGGGGATATTTGTTCCTCACAAAGCAATATAACCTAATACACACACACACACACATACTCAACTTCCAAAAACTGATGGCAATGCAGCCACTTGCCCGCCAATCCCAGAATGCACTTCTGGCCCTGGGAGCATGTCTTGGGCGAGCTGTTCTCACCCCTCCTTCCTCCTCTGTCCTCTCACACACGGCTGCACATTTCAGCTGTGAGCAGACGGTGGATGCAGCCAGCAGACGGCAAAGCCAGGGACATGGAAGAAGGATGTGTCGCTGTGCCCAAGGAAAAACTGCTAAACTTAGCATGCATCTCAGCTGGTGGATGGATGGCATGAGTCCATTAGCCTAGCCATGCGCCGTCTCTACAGAACGGAGAAGCATTCAAAAATCAAGCAGGCAGAGTGCTCTGGGTGTAACAGATCCATCCCCTATCCCTAACACTAACCTCAATGCTAACCCTGATCCCAAAGCTAACCATAACACCAACCTTAAACGCTACTGCTAACCCTAATCCTATCACCAACCCTCCTACTTCCCATAATAGTAATCAGATTTTCCCCAGGTCATCATCAGGCTCAGAGTCACAGCAGTGGTCTCCGGGGTTTAATATCCATTCCTGTACAAGGAGAACCAGGAACATATTCTGGGAGTTTCCAGAGTTCCTGCCCATGGAGTTGGAGGGAGTGAGTCAGAGCAGGAGCTCTGGACACATGTGGCTTCAAATCCCACTGTTGGCAGAGTGATGTCACCTTGAGCCACTGAACAGAACCTTTAACCCCCAATTACTCCAGGGACAGTGAGTTTACTTTCATAAAAATGTATGTCGCTTTGGGTAAAGGCGCCAGATGAATAAATGAAATTTAAAACAATTTTGCTTCTCTTGAATCTGCTTTGATTCAGCCGGTCTACACAGCTGTCTGTCTTAGCTTCAAGCTTCCCTCCAGTCACATCTCATCACACCTGAGATGCTGCTCATACCACCCACCATGGGACAGTGGACACCCCCGCCATGGCAGACGCAGGTGCTGGGTGCCGGCTGGTGTTATTTTGCACCCACCTACTCTGGTTTGGCCCTTATGAAAAGCCTGAGGGTTAAACTGGAGATGAGCTGCCTTCAGCTTTTCAGTATGTGTACAATGCTGATCATCTAAGTGTTTCAAAGGCTATTTCTGCACACTGACACGATCTTTGACATCTGCATTACGCTCTGTAAGGACACACTGACCCGGACGCATGGCGCTTGCAGATACACCATCTCGGGTAACACGCGGGAAATTCGCGCTCGAATGCACGCGGGCGCCTCTCGTAATAAATGCAAACAGATAGGCGGTTTTGTACTGAACTGTCATTCCGTCGCGTGCCCCCGCTGTCTACTGGCGCGATCCGCGCTACAAACGCGGTCTGGTAAAGATTATTAAATTATGAAGCTATTTGTGGAGGCTTTTAGTTCACCTAAAATGTTGTTAGCCCCTCAATAAATGTGTGTGTGTATGTATGTATGTATGTATTTATTTATTTATTTGTTTGTTTGTCATCGGCTCCCCGTAGTAAAGACTCAGCCCCCCTGTCCATTCATCTCTATTTATACCCCCTGAACAACACGATGGTGTTTCAATGACAGAGTTCCAAAGTGATCCCAGTGCAGGGGAAAGATCATCCAAAAATGCTACTTTTGCATTGAAACACTTATAGAAGATACTCTGTATATCAATTATACAATACAATGAACTAAACACACCAGACTTGAGACAGATTAAATAGCTTGACTTTATTCTGAAACACGGGTTTAGTGACAGACCAGCCTTTTTCCAGTATACAATTACCACCTTGCCTTTTGGAGGGCACCGTAGCGTCAAAACTCTTTGATGCAAAAGCACCTACTTTGCTAGAGAAGCCTGTCACCTGACGGAGATCATTGTGAGAGACTATGTGAGTGGAAATTCGACCTAATATTAAAACTTAGTTTAAAATTGTGGTTTTATACTACTCACATATATATGTATAATAGTTACAACAGATTCAACATAATGATTGAGCGTGTTAATTAATATACGCTGTTGTTTGGCGCCCTCTAATGGCTGTCTCTGTGTGCCGTTATAGCAATTTTTAAGAGAAGTTGCACGTACATTTCACTCGATTTATTCGACTAATAAATTTGCAATTACTTTAGTCGACATTTTAACGTAAAAAGCTTGTATTTTGCTTAATCAGAAAAGTCTTTAGTCTTTAACGATGACTGCTAATTAGTTGAAATTCCAGTTTGACATTTTGAAAATTTGACATTTTGCTTCTATAGACAGATTGAGTTCTAGAGAACCGAGGTCGTATAGATTAGGGTAGGGCAATATTGTGGGAGTTCCGTTTGTGTTTAGAGGTTCGGGTTTGATTTGGTTCTTGCCAATGTTAAAATCAGACCTACGCCAGCGTAGAATTTATAACTTTGATTGTTTATATTAACATTTTATGTTTCTAGTGTTAGACATAACATTTTATAAAAAATAAAGAATAGAAAGTGCAAAATATCTAAGTTTATAATATTAATCTAAACGCGCATGTGATGGTATTAAAAATCTTAAAGTCATTTTTAAATAAATTAAACCGACATGAACGGCATCAGTGATCAGACAGAAATGCATGCTATCATTCAGCCCTTTGCCTAGAATCACTCCCACTATTTTAGGTTTAATCATTATCATGTTTAAGTTCAAACAGTTTTGTTCTAATCAGCTGTAACTGCACTTTAAGGAGAACCCTGGTCAAAATGTAAGAGACAATACATTTCCTTCTTATACCTGGGAAGAGGTAGATGCCACAATAAATCCGTCAGTGCGAAAAAATTCACAACTGCAAAAACAACGATAACAATTATTTTATAATTGTCATGGCAATTCTTTGATCGGGTCCAATAAAAGAATAGGCAAACTTAGTTGAAATTCTTCACTCTGCAGAGAAGAATGTCACACAAGTCACTCTGTGCTCGTGCGGCTCCGCCTTCCTTATCTATAGCTTCTCATATAGAGATTAAGTTTAAGTCATGTGACCTTCAGCATGCACGCATCTCTAAAAAAAACAGAATGTGAGTTGCCGCAATATTCACGCAGCTCTTATGGATTGCTTTTTATCTTTCACCTACAATGGCAAAAAAGTACCAATTGTCATGCCCTGCTCGTCCGATCCTCCTGTGTGCCACGCCCCCTGGTTAACCTCGTTTGGAATCCCGCTTGTTATCAGCTGTTTCCTGTTTTTTCCATTGAGTCCAGTGTATTTTAGTCCGTGTTCGAGTCCGTTTCCCTCGGTCTGTCATTGAAGTCTCTCCGTGTAGTGCTGCCTGTCTTTGCCTGTCCCCTGTCCCTGCTCCCTTTTTTCATTAAATCTCATATTCCCCAGCCCTACGCGTCCCTCTCCTGCTTCCCCGTGCTAGGTCACGACACCAATTTGTACCTTTGAGAGTACAATTATTTGTCACTGGGGCTATATCCTCAAGGGCTAGTTGTATCCTAGCTATGCCTTTCAGTCGAATTTAAGGTACGGAAATGGCTTCTGAGGAACATTTTGTACTATTGAGGGTACATTAATGTTGTTTGTACTCTGAGGAACAAAACGGTACCAGGGCTGTGTTATAAGATGTATCCATTTGGCTCTTCGATGGTGTTTCATGAGCAAGTGTTTCCTCTGTTCTGACGTCTACAAGAATGTTTGACGTATGTTTCTCGCCTTGCAGACAGTGATTGAAATTTCTATCACAATAATACAGTAACCATTGTAACACATTATGTTGTAACAGTTATGTATTATAATATTAGTGTATATCAAAACTAAGGACTACTAGTAATTGATGTTTATTTCTATTTTTAATTTAACACATATTTCGGAGAAAAGTTGCTCAGGCGAATCGGGATGAAAAAACGTCCCGGCTTATACTGTGTAGGTGAAGTGTAAGGCGCAGGTGTACGGTTTTAACCGGGCGGGGCGGGGCGGAGGCGGTGAGGCACGGAAGTGGGTTATGTGTGTGTCATTCATAAAGCCGTCAACGTGAGGACGAGCCCCATACGGCGAGCGCCGCAGACTCGGGTCCGGACCCACGGGACGGGGAACTGAAGCGTAAAGCGGCGCTGTCAGCGGCCCCCAAATACATATTCATACAAATATTGGACCGGAGACTGGGAAACGTTGGCTGTCAACACCGCTGGCAAGTGCAAAGGGGAATTAGTTTGGGAAAAGGAGCGGCATTGACTAAGGCATTGAATTAGGAGAAACATGCGTGTCGCGGCGCTGGAGCGCTGGAGGCAGCGGGGACGCGCTTCCCACCGCTCCGCACACAGGGCGCACAGCCTGGCGTCGACGCTCCGGATCTCGCTTTATCTCTCCTAACGCCTTAGGACCGAAACCCAGCGTGTCTTGGGATTGGACCGATGCAGTATGATCACCGCGTTCAGCTTGTTGCTCACTGATCAGGATCGCGACTCATGGGATGCGACACATGGAGATCTAAGGTCAACTTTGGACCGCTGAAAACTCAGTCCAAGCTGCCGGCTTTCTTTACGATGGTGCTCATTTTCACCTATTTCTTTTACTCTTTGACTGGATACAGCGACTACCTGTCAAGCCCCGCGTATGACCCCGAATCAGCAACCAGGGGCGTTGAATACGACTCCCAGAGCGGGGTCGGGACTCCGGTGCGCTTCCCTCCGCATCCGATGAGCCGCCGGAACAGGACTCAGGGGCCATGGTCCAACGAACTGTCCCCCGGCAGTCAGACGCGGGGCGACATCTCCATCCTCAGTAACGCTGGGATAAAGAGGTTTCCCCAGGCGATCATAATCGGCGTGAAGAAAGGCGGTACCCGAGCCCTGCTCGAGTTTCTCCGGATTCACCCCGATGTCAGAGCCGTGGGATCGGAGCCACATTTCTTTGACCGCTTCTATGATAAGGGACTGGAGTGGTACAGGTAGGGCTTTACGCACGTGCCAAACTCGGTTTAGATTATTTTGCAGCTATCTGGTTTCTTAATTAGTCTATGCCGTCCAATGGCCATTTACGTTTTTTTTTCCAAAACGGTGCATGCCTTTACTTTTAATAGTTTGGTTGTTGGAATTTTCTATCATGGTACACCTTTGATCATGAAAAGTCTGGTTGGAATCTTTCTAAATTGTCATAATGATGAATTTATAAAAATCAGGTTAACATTTTGTCATGTTGCCTCATCATAATAAAGTAGGTCTATTTACAATTTAGGGTTAAAACGCAGCCTGTCACCATAGCGATTCGTGCGGCCTTTTCCAGAGGGCACCTTACATCTTATTCATATAGTTAAAGTAACTAAGCAGCCTGTTATTTGCTAAAGTTTCTGTGTTGTTTACACTTTCATAAAAAAATTCCCGCAAGGTTGAAATTCAGGGAGAGTCTGTAATTAGGGAAACACCTCAAAGCAACCATAAAAATGTCATCCTGACGAATATTTCGTCAAGATGATAGCGTTGGATTAGAAAGCTCAGGATTACTGTCATCCAAACGCAGAATTCGCAGCACAGAGAGACAGAATGTGGTTTAAACTCCTATCAGCCTCAGCAAGCAAATGATCATCTCTCTGATTCCAGTTAATTCATTTACACGTATTTCCCATTTGACAAATTCAGCTAATCCAACAATTCATTCCCATTCACCATACGATTGCAGTCAATTCACACTTGGTTCATTTTCATTTTGTTAATGTTTTATAATGCAGCACATTCACATAAAGGTTGTGGCCATCCTAATACCGCATACCTTTTAACTAGGGTAAGTGACGACTCTGCTCATACCCAGAATCCTCTGCTCCCAAGCAACACAATCAGCAACATGCAGTTGATTGACAGAAACACACTGGTATCTGTTTATGGAACAAAAGGGGGGCTTACTCTGGTTATAAAGGGTCCTAATGTCTTTGGGGTTCAGTGTGGCATTATAGGATGCCTTTCAGTCCTCAGTCACCGCGTTCTTTCAGTCAAGAGAAGACTGAAACCATCCCATAGGTAACAGTGACATTTACTGGTCTAATAACAAATAACAAGTGAAACGCTCATGGTCCAGCTTTCGGCAAAGGTGTGGGGTGTAAATGTCCTTTGAGGTGAAGCCCCTGGGGTGTCGCTCTGACGCATCCGTGGTTGTATCTCTGGGACCCAACGATACCGTTTTGGAAGCAGTCGTGCTGATAGTCTGCAAAGCTGAGACACTCACACGGACTCAGGACTTTAGTGAGGGGCAGACTGCAGCCCCTGTCAAGCAGCGATACTGAGGATGGGTTTGATCTGCATGAAGGCTGTTTGTCTGTCTGTGGAAACGCTGCCTTTGGCTCTTGCCAGCATCACGCCCTGCCTGGCAGGAGCCGCTGCTCAGAGGTGTCACAGAAAACAGAAAACACCTCCGACGAAGGAGTGAAATGGGTGGCAGGTGTTAGAGGTGACACACCTCTGTGGGAGGCAGGTGACCCAGGTGAGCCTGAGCACCGCCTGTGCTCCTCCGGGCCAGCTGCCGTGTCCCTCAGAGGGCGGCTTGATTGTGCACAGATGACGAGAATATCCACAGGAGCCCTTCAGCTTGGGGAGAGAGAGAGAGAGAGAGAGAGAGAGAGACCGCAATCATCATCAGAATTCACAACAGTAATTTTATCTTTTTATCTTCTTTTTCCATCCAATTTAAAAAGATGAGAACACATGGAAGCATTTTTGCTGCTGATAATTTTAGTCTGTCTGTCTATCTCTCTCTCTCTGTCTCCATTTCTCTCTCCCTCTTTTATTATTATTATTATTACTATTATTATTATTATTATTGTTGTTGTTGTCTTTATAATTTTGCACGCTCTCCATAGCCAGGAAAGACAGCAAATTCTGATGGATATTTTAATGAAAGTGCAGGTGTTTTCTTGGACTTGGCATTTAAAAACATAACACATCGTCTCTCTCCCTCTATCTTTCTCTCTGTTTCCATCTGTCTATCTGTCTCTCTCCAACTCTATCTTTTTCTCTCCCTCTCTCTCTCCTTCTGTCTCCGTCTCTGTCTCCCTCCCTCTCTGTCCCTCTCCCTCTCTGTCTTTCTGTCTGATTCTGTCTCTCTCTCTGTCCCTCTGTGTCTTGGCTTCTGGCTGCTGTCAGGTTATCGTATGGAAATTTCTGTGGCTTCCAGGGCTCAACGCTTGGTGCAGATTCTCCATAAATTACTTCCACTTGCAGGCAGCAATCCACCCCCTCCTCCAAATCCCCCCCCCCCAGTTCCGGCCAGGTCTCACCTCCCTGATCATCACTAAACAGCTGTTCATACAGGCAGGGTGCTTGTATTTATAAAGGGGCTCTTAAACCTTAAAAAGCACATTTAAATTTGAGCCAAAATGGAGGATTGGGAGAGGGGGTTTCACCCTTTTTTGACACTAGCTAGCTGGTCTATAAGGAGTGAGTGATCAAAGAAACACACAGGAACACCTGCTGGGTCTCAGGTTAGTCGCTGAGTATTCCTGAGAAAACAATTAAAGGAATTCAAGACAGAGCTTGGAGTAGTTCAGGAAGCTGGACGGAGCAGGTGTGAATGTTTGTGTTTGAGGGCTTCTGCACCAGGGAGACACTTTTGATCAAAGATCCCAAAACATTTCCTATCACGACTGCGGAGGAGATGTTTGTACCTGCCTGGACTCGTTCAGGTGAGAGACGGCGGTTTATACAAACATAGGTAGTTCCACTGCGCCCCTGTAGATTTGGAGAGTCAGCGGTGGGATCGGAATGTCACATGACCAGCACACCGCGTGTGTGTCAGCGTCACCCCCGTGTCACTCTCTGCCACGGGACTGTGTCACTCTCAGTCCTGGCTGCTTCAGGTCACACAGGCACAGGGTTCTGAGAAAATCTTTTGTTAAGCTGCTGCGTTATAAAAGTCCCCGGTAGCCCCCCAGTGACACACAGCATCCACATCTGATTCCACTCACTGGGGCTGTGGGAGAGGGTGGGGTGGCTCGGTCAGGCTTGCAGGAGGCACTTTGTCATTATAACCCCACCCCCTCCCAGGAGCTAACTGGGGGGTCAGCCAGTGCAGAGCCAGGGAGAGCCCAGCTTGTAGAGCTGTGATGGGGGTGACCCGGGGCAGGGCTGGCAGCAGCGGGGCCCAGGACAGGTAACCACGGGGGTCTCGCTAACATGACCCCTCGGATGGGGCTGCCCTCCATTTCGCCTGATCCTTTAGCGCCTTCGCTCGTTTCGTTGTTTCATTGCGTAGGGGTGGACGGCAGGAGTTTAGCGCGAGCAGAGGATGTCCTGCTTAGAGTCACGCTTCTGCTGAACATATGGGCCCACTGTGACCACATGAAAGACATTCAGCAGAAAACCACCAACGCTCACAGAGACCAGTGTTGGAAAGAGGGCCGGCTTCCGGAGAAGTCTCTCACGACCGACCCGGGGAAACTATGCATGTGATTGGCTGGTAAAAATGATGAAAAGGCTTGTGTTAGCTTGTTGGCATATTGGCCTGTATTAACCTGTGTTGACCTGTATTAGCCTGTGTTGGCTTGAATTAGCCTTTGTTGGCCTGCGTTAGCTTGTGTTAGCCTGTGTTAGCTTGTGTTGGCTTTGAATAGGGATGCTGGCTTGGGAGCCAATGGCTGCAGTCTTCCTGTAGGCTGAATTCTCTGTCTGATGTGTGATTGGAGGTAAGGTGAGTTGAAGGTAAAAAGGGTTTGATTCTGGTATTGGACCAGAATCTGTTATTTGCCTGTCAGAAGGTGGCCAATGACCCCCAGACTGACATACATCCCATTGGTTAGCAGAGGCAAAGCATGTATCCCTGACACGAGACACCATTAGGAACTGGGTGACCATGAATCTCCTCTTCACATCAAAGCTGGGATTTTTCCTGCCCCCCCCCCCCCTCCAATTTCTGATGGGTTGTTTTAATGTGGCCGGGAGCAAAGCACAAGAAGTGGTCGGGTCAGGAAGGGAATCTCCAGGGACTCCTGTCACACTTCTGTGTTTTGATGGTGCGGGGAGCTGAGTGGTGTGTGGCTCGACGTCATTCGGGCCATGGTCTGGCTCGTGTTGATGAGCTCGTGAAATCTGACAAGCTTTTAAGGGTGGTTCAGCTGTAACGACCCGGCTAGGGAGAGCCAAGGCCCCGAGGGTGACAGGACAGCGGCTCGGTCCTCGCTCACGATGCGGGGCAGTGCTCCCCACAGCTCCCAATCCCTCTGGCTGCAATGGGGTGGATCACATAAAAGTGGTTGGGATCTACTGGATCTGTTGGAGCTGTGCACAAGGACTTGTGATTTGCTAAATCCTGGGATTTTCCCGTGTATCTGATCTGTTAGCTATGATGTTTCCCATGGGTTCCACTGCCGGGGGTGTGTGTGGCTACGTTGACTCCAGGGTAGTAACACCAGCTCCCCCCCCCCCAGATACCAGTAGATACCGGTGACACACAGAGGAAAATCCCTCCTCTCTTATACCAGTAAGACACATGTGTGATCATATATATTTCAAAGGCTAAGAAAAGGAAATTCCTACGGTCTAAATGGTTTTGCACAAAGCGACTGGGAGCCAGGATCCATCATCACTGATCTCACACATCTCCCCGACAAACGTGACTCTTACGAGTCATCAGCCTGCCGCACATTAGTGGTCCCCATAGGTGTCACTCCTGTGCCCCATAGGTGACCCTGCTTTGAGAGCAGGCTGAGGGGTGCACACGTGTCACTGGGAGCAGGCGCTCTCTGCGTCACCCTGACAGCCCCCCCGGTTACTGATGACAAATGAATGTAGTGAGAAAGCAGGAGAGAAAAAACAACATTAGATAGAGGCGTAGGTGGCATGCGGGCCAGACAGCCTGGGCCGGAGAGGGGAGCCGCCGCCCCTAGCAGTGTAAACGACCTCTCCCCCGTTTTAATCACTGGGGAGGAGGGAGGCCTCACAAAGGCAGTGCAGCGGTGCCTGTGGG